ATCCCCTGGCTCATTCAGGGGGCAGCGGGCACTGGCCATGCTCTGCATCGCCATCTGGATCCCTTGTTACGAAGCTGTGACCTGTGCTGGGTTCTCATTGGAGGCAGCATGTTTGAAACTAACACGAGGACGTTCTTTTTCACGCAGCATGCCATTCAGGCATGGAGCTTGCTGCCGCTGGATGCTGTAGAAGCTGTCAGTTTAGCCAGATTCAAAAAGGGGCTGGACTGATTCTTGGAGGAAAGGGGCATCCACATGGAGCGTGGGACTTGGGGATACAGTCTCTGAATTGGAACTTCCTGGACCTTAAATGCTGGAGGATGCAAGTGGGAGGAACAGTGCGGGGAAAAAACACTGGTCTACCCAGTTCACTCTCCCTTTCAGTCTCCACTCTGCCCCTATATGATGCAGGAGACTGGGCAAGATGGCCCAGTAAATGGCAGTTCTTATGACCTCCCTCCCTTTCTTGTTTTCTCTTTATTTGATCCCCAGAATTAGTTGATGTGTCTCCATTCTATGATGTGCCTAAGCCCATGATCTTTCGGCACATCAAATAGGCCTGCAATCTCTCATGTCTCTGGGCAGATTTTCGCTGGTCAGCATCCACAGGCTCCCTTGACTCATTCAGGGGGCATTGGGCTCTGGCCAGTGTGCTCTGCTCAATGCCCCCATCCAGATCCCTTGTTATTAACCTGTGACCTCACTCCCTTCCGTTTTCTTTTTATTTGTCCCAAGAAATTAGTTGTTGCTTTCTCAATGGCCTCCCTTTTCAAGGGAGGCTTATAGTTTTTCTTGGTGGGCACTGGCCCACGATCCCTTGAAAGCAGCGAAAAGGCCTGCAGTCTTTTCACAGCACCTGGTGAAGGAAGCCACCCTGCTTACGAAAGCTCATGCATCTCTGACTTAGATATCTAAGGTGCCACTCTACCCTGACCTCTGCCTCAAAAGAAAACATCTGAGCATAAACACTGCAAACCGCTGCTTTAACTGGTTTATTTTATGGTTATAGCTTGGGAGTATTTATAACTCACTGTCCCCCACAAGGTGTTAATCATTTATCCACAGCTACAGGGAAAGTCTGTATCTGTAGGTAAGATACAATCTCCACCTTGGGAAGTTTAAATTTTAAGGCCCCAATCCCACACACATGGGACTAAGTACCACAGGCCTCTTGAAGCTGGTGTATAATTTAAATTAGAAAAGGGGCCTCTGGAGTAGTGGTTCCCAATCTTGTCTGGAGTGGGCAGTCCCCCTGGGAGTCCTCTTGTGACCCTGCTCCTAGGAAAAGCCTGACTGCTATAACTGAAGTTTTGTGAGGCTCATGACACCATTTGAAGTTTCAACCCATGCTATGGGAATGGCTGCCTTGAAGTCGAGAGTAGTCACCCAGTGAAACTTGAGATAAAAAATGTCTGCATCTAAGTTAAATAAGAGCATAAGGAACCTAGACTAAGCCCCTTAGCTAAAGTTGATACATACTTGCTGTTCAGGAATTCTCATTCACAAATTTCAAAGCACTTTACAGAGCGTCTTTATTGCAATCTAGTAAATGAGACACAATCTTGCACAGTCTTACTTTTGTTTTGACATGCAATCTATTTATTGTAAACTAAAATAGATTACATTCTGGGCTTGTAGCCTTAGCAAGTGTATTAAAAAAAAAAAAAGTTGGACTTGTTGTGGGGGATTTTACATTTTTTTCTTTTTCTGCCCATAGGTTCAATATGTTATTGAACACTGACCAAGTAAACCTAATTGGACAAGTGTTTGAATCCTACGTTTTGGAATATCACAAAAATGACATTTTACATATCTTAAGAGAGCAAGATGATGAGAAACATTATCCAATTGTTGTTGATGCCCTGACTCTTTTTGAGACCAATATGGAAATTGGAGAGTATTTCAATGCATTTCCGAATGAAGTGCTTCCTATTTTTGACAATGCATTACGCAGAGCAGCTGTGGCAGCTCTGCAGCCCACTTCCCAGAATCATGGTGTTAGCATCAAGCAGAATCTTCATGCCAGGATATCAGGTGAGTCATTTATATGTGTAATTCCACATGTGGTAGATCTATATTTTACTCAAAAAAAAATTCTACTGTATGCTGTCTAGTAGTAATTATTGGACTGTCTGGTGGGAGAACTTACTGCATGCTAGTTGATTTTATTTTTACAATGTCCATATTTAAAGTCAAGAAAGAACTGCTGATATGTATTTAAGAAAGCAGAAACTACAGCAGATGTTAACAGAGAGAAAAACACTTTCAGCAAGTCATTATTTATTCTATAAAGCTTCACTGAGAGAACAAAAAACTTTGACAAGATACAAAGGCTGGTTACAACAACAGGGTTAGAGAAGTTAAAAAACCCAAGTAGCATTTGAAATTCTGAAGACCAGTATAGAAAAGCAGTTATTGTTATCGTCTACTACAGTATAAGGCCTTGATGCTTGGCGCTCATTGCAGGTTCAGGGGACAGGCCTATTTGTTGTGCCATTTTACCTGTCAGGTTTAGGAGACAAGAAACGCTGTGAGTCTGCAGCTGGTAGGGAGGGCACTCCATAAAAGTAGTAGGGAATTCTGTAGATGGTGTGTGTGTTATACCTTTTTCCTGGTCCCTCTTTATTCCTTTAGTAGCTTGGCTACTGCAGGTGTTTTTGTACAGTTTGGGGATATGGTTGGAGCTAATATACACTACAAAACAGACTTACGTTTTCTCCATTATGGAGGATAACTGTATTGTAATTTTTCCTCTGACATAAATTGATATTTGTGGTGCAGATGGAGCCTTACCCTAAACTGCTTGCTCTTAAGGCAGAAAGCTGTATTTACTCAACATGCCAGACCCATACCTTTTCCTCTAGGCTAGGGACAGACATTTAAAAAGCCCAAGCATAAATTGATTCCATCTTTGTAGATTAGTCTAACCTGCAAAGATTGAACCAGTTTGCAAGTGAATAGACATTCTGTTTTCACTTCAGAAATCCAGTGGCTCAGGCCAAAAGCCCAGGGGTGCTAGAGCAGCCCTCCCTTCCTTTTCATAGGGAAGCTGGGCAGAGGGGGGCACATGGCCAGGCCCTGGTAGGCCTCAGTAAGACTGAGAAAGGGTTTAAACCCAAACTGGCCTGCGGGGTTTGGAGGTTGGGGGAGGAGGGAGCATGGCCAGACCCTGTGGCTGCAGGGAGGAGGTGGGGAACGAGGAGGAAGAGGGGAAGGGGAGAGTTCTGCCCACTCCAGCAGCTCCCTTACTGCCAGGAGCAAATCAGGTACAGAGCACTCTGTGGCCCCAAAGCAGGATTCTTCCACCTCCTCCCTCTCCCCCATGGCCGTAGGGTAGGGAGGGGGGCTCTATGCAGTGCTGGAGGGGGACTCTTCCTGCTTCTCCTCGGTGCCCCCCCGCCCCGGCACGGGGTGGGAAGGGGGGCTCTGTGCGGGGCTGGCCAGCCCCAGAGGGGGACTCTTCCCCCTCCCCCATGGGGCAGAGAGGACCTCTGTTTGGTGCCAGGGGGGGGCTCTTTCCCCTCCTCCCCTCTGTTCCCTGCTGCCGCAGGGCTGGGACTGGGGCTGTGTGCAGGGCTGCCTGGTCCCAGAGGGGTACTCATCCCCCTGCTTCTCTCCCCTCCCTGTCCTGGAAGTAGGGCTCTGTTCAGAGCTGAAGGG